ACAGGACAAAGTCCAAGGCAGAATCTATTGGTTCACCTTGAAAGATATCTTATTGGGGTCAACGTTATGGTGAAGCGAGTAAAGACACTCCCACATGGGAGACCCAGAAGAAGCTCCTAGCTCTTGGCTTTGACCTGACCCAGTCCTGGCTACTGTGGCTATCTGGGGAGTGAACCAGTGGATTGAAGATTTCTCTCTCTCTCTCTACCCCCCCCCCCAACACAACACTCTCAAATAAATAAATAAATCTGTAAGAAAAAAAAAAAGACATTGGGGCTGGTGCTGTGGCATAGTGGGTAAAGCCGCCATCTGTAGTACCAGCATCCCAGTTCAAGTCTCAGCTGCTCCACTTCTGATCCAGGTCTCTACTATGGCGTGGGAAATGCACTAGAGGATGGCCCAAGTCCTTGGGCCCCTGCACCTGCATGGGATACCCGGAAGAAACTCCTGGCTCCTGGACCTTTGTGTCTGTTCTGGCGAGTGAACCAGCAGATGCAAGACACCTCTCTTCTCTCTGCCTCTGCCTCTCTGTAACTCTGCCTTTCAAATAAATAAATAAATCTTAAAAAAAAAAAAAGAGACAGCTTGGCATTGACATTAATTTGTCAACATAGTTGGTTAAATATATTTAACCAGCTTACTATTCAGATAAATCTACCATCAAGTTGAATTACCCTTTTTGCAGTGCCATCAGAATTTATTAAGTGCCTTGCTGAAATCACGACACTTCATATCTGCAGCATTTCCCTACCTTTTTGTATAATTTTTAATGAAGTAAATTTGGGGTGATTTCTTAACAAGTCCATATTTGCTATGCTAGCTATGTTTTTTTAATTTATCTTTTAATTCTATTTTTTCATATGGAAAAATTGTTTAAAATTGTTTTAAAACATCTATTCAGTTATTTGAAAGAGAAAGAGAAGGAAAAAGATCTTCCATCTGCTGGTTCATTCCCCAGATGCCTCCAACAGTTAGGGATGGTCCAGTCCAGAGCCAGGAGCCAGAAATTCCATCCAGGTCTCCCTTGTGGGTGACAGGGATCAAAGTGCTTGAGTCACATTTGTTGCTTCTCCAGGAATGGCGGAGTAGCTGGGACTCAAAACAAGCATTCTGATAAGGAATGCTGGTATCCCAAAAAGTGGCTTGACCCACTGTGTCTCAATACCTACTTGCTTGGGGTTTAAAAAAATTTACTCATGTATGTCTTTGAGAAGTGGGGGAGAGAGATAGAGATAGAGATAGAGATAGAGATAGATATATATATATATATATATAGAGAGAGAGAGAGAGAGAGAGAGAGACCCCTGTGCTTGCATACTCCCTAAATGCCTGCAATGTCTGGGGCTAGAGCCCGGCAGTCATAATTGAAACCCAGGTCTCCCATGTGGTTGGCAAGAATCCAGTGATTGAGCCATCATTGCTGCCTCCCAGGGTCTGTATTAGCAAGAAACTGGAGTCAGGAACTGAAGCTGGTACCAAACCCAGGCACCCTGATATGGCACATGGGCATCTCAACTGCTAGGGCAAAACTGTTTTTTGTTTGTTTGTTTTGTTTGTTTTTTTAAGTGTAAAAACAAGATTGCATGCTTCTGGGCAAGCCAGCTGTACTGCCTCAAGGTGGGAGTCAGTGGATTACCTCCTGCTGTGCTAACCTCCCTGCTGGTTCTAAATCAGTTCAAGACTCACTCAAGTTACCCAAGTGGTCGGGGTGTAGCTACTAGAACACTGGGCATCCATTGCTAGTTGTTCACCAGTCTTCCCTTCTTTATTAACTGGATTCCCAACTTTATCCTGGGCAGCAATGTGCAAAACTAAAAAAAAGGAAATGGGAGGAGTGTAGAGAGACGGAAAGGACACTATTTCTTAATCTTTTTGCTGCTAGCTCACATCACTGTTTGCATTAAGAAAACCACAGCAGAATCGTCAGGGGGAATTTTTATATCACTGATACTTAATCAGAGGGGGTCTTCAAAGACTTCATGGAAATGCATATTATAAAATATTATGCAAGGATTTAAGAAATTTTGCACTAAAATAAAATCATCTTTCAATTCCATTTTACATGAACTTTTTGAAGTGTCCTTGTATGCAGAAAATATATTTCAGCATTTTCCTCTTATTTTGGCATGGACATAGATGTGAAGCTGGAGGCCAGGCGATGACTATCAGGAGGCTAAAGCTTCAGACCACAGGTGGTGAAGGGGAAGCCAGAGCAGCTAGGTCTGTCCTTGACCCTGAGGAGCTGCTGCTGTAGCCCTGAACTACTTGCCTACTTCTAGGGGTGTGAAGACTGCAACCCCTGCTTTGGGTTAAGTCATTGATGCAGAGTTCTTGTCTCATGCAGCAAAATAGCACACACAAGCATGGATAGAAACTGGAAAGCTGGTCACCAGACCAAGCCCAGGAACTGCCTACTGTCTACTCCTCCCCTCGCAGTAGCTACATGGTCTGTCTCTCATGGTGTGCATTTCTTTTCCCTAACCATTTGTTTTCCTTTCTGTAACTACTTTCTAATCTAATCACTAGATGTGTTCTTTAAGTTGAGACTTCTACTTACTAGTACTTTCCCTTATCTTATGATGTTAGTTGATTCCACACTCATCATGGCATTTCCAGTGTTTCTTTTCTTTTTTTTAAATTTTTTAAAATTTTTTTAGAGAGAGACAGAGAGAAAGGTCTTCCTTCTGTTGGTTCACCCCGCCCCCCCCAAATGGCTGCTACGGCCAGCGCTGCACCAATCCAAAGCCAGGAGCCAGGTGCTTCCTCCTGGTCTCCCATGCGGGTGCAGGGCCCAAACACTTGGACCATCCTCCACTGCCCTCCCGGGCCACAGCAGAGAGTTGGACTAGAAGAGGGGCAACTGAGACAGAACCGGTGCTCCAACCGGAACTAGAACCCAGAGTGCCAGTGCCGCAGGCAGAGGATTAGCCTAGTGAGCCCCAGCGCCCAGTGTTTCTTTTCTTTTCTTTTTTTTTAAGATTTATTTATTTTACTTGAAAGAGTTACAGAGAGAGAGGAGAGGTAGAGAGGCAGAGAGACAGAGAAAGAGAGAGAGAGAGAGGTCTTCCATCCATTGGTCCACTCCCCAATTGGCTGCAACGGCTGGAGCTGTGCCGATCCGAAACCAGGAGCCAGGAGCTTCCTCTGGGTCTCCCATGGGGGTTAAGGGTCTCAAACCGGTGCCCATATGGGATGCTGGCACCCCAGGCCAGGGTGTTAACCTGCTGCGCCACAGCGCCGGCCCCTCCAGTGTTTCTTTACATCATGTCTTCTGATTTTCAATTCTCACATTTATTTTTTTCTTCATTGTTCCTTACTCTAAATCCTGGAGAAGAGTATGATTTTCCAATTTTGTTTGAGTCATAGTTCAGTCTATTGATTGTCTACTGCTGGGCCTGATGTCCACCTCTAAGCCAAGTGGCTGTAGTTTGGAGAAATGGATGCTTTTAGGAATATGCATAGGTTGCCTGGCCTTCTAAGGGTCCTTCAGGGACTCTGGGCAGTTCAGGGCTGCAAGAAGGGATAGGACAAGTCTCATCATAAACCTCAGGCCTGGTATGTTGTAGCCAATTGAAAACATAGCCACTCCTGCATAACAAAGCCAATTAAAATCTCATTTAAAATGAGCCACATTCCAGAAAACATAAACTAATCAACTTTGGGAAATTTGCAAGCTCAAGTTCCTATCCAAGTTTGTTTCTTTTTTTTTTTTTTTAATACACTCTATGAAAGTTTGAAGATCTTTTCGTGCTTGATTTTTTTCATATGTGAACATAGAGAACTCAAGGCTGGCACTGTGGCATAGCAGGTTGAGATGCTGCTTGTGACAATGGCATCCATCATAGACTCTAGTTTGAGTCCTGGCTGCCCCACTTCGGATCTACCTCCCTGCTAATGCACTGAGAAGCCAGCAGAAGATGACCCAAGTGCTTGTGCCCCTGCACCCATGTGGCAGACCCAAAAGAAGCTCCTGGCTCCTGACTTTGTACTGGCCCAGCTCTGGCTGTTGTGGCTATTTGGGTAGTGGACCAGTGGATGGGAAATCTCTCTCTCTCTCTTTCTCTCTCTCTGACTCTGCCTTTCAAATAAATAAATATGAAACAAAAAAATTAGGGAACTCATATCTATTACCTCTTGAGGTTTTAGGGAGGAGCAATACAACTGATTTGCAAAGTGTTATTGTTAAGGATTTATTTATTTGAAAGAGTGACAGAGAGATCTTCCATCACTGGATTACTTCCCAAATATCTGAAACAGCCAGGGCTGGGCCATGCTGAAGCCAGGAGCCAGAAACTCCACCTGGATCTCCCACAGTGGTGTCAGGAACCCAGCTACTTGGAGCATCATCCACTGCCTCCCAGGAGCATTAGCAGGAAGCTGGATCAGAAGTACTGAGTAGCTGGAACTTGAACTTGAACCAGCACTCTGATACAGAATGTGGATGTTCAAGCACTGGCTTAATCTGCTGCACCACAGAGCCTGGCCCTGTAAAGTGTTCTATTGCTATAAAGTGCTTTGTTGAAAATAGTCTGGATTTGAATAGTTTGATTTTTTGCGGTATGTAATAAAGAGGAGCGCTTGTCAAATAAATAAATGCATGTCTAAATTTTCTTCCAGTTGTTACATTTGTGAAAGTTCTTAAAATTCAGAAAGAACGGTCTGAGATGTTAAAGGCTTCATTCACACTAAAACTTTCCTTACCCAGAAAATAGAATTCTAGCATCATTCTTAGTTTATTCTTTCACAAGTCATTCGGGTACCAGTTAACTATGATAACTGTGTCCTGGACTTTATGCACCAGGGTATGAGATCAGAATTAAAGGGCAGAGCAGTGCTGACTTTGCAGAGTTGACTGTGCTCATCTCTTCCTGCTTCCACAACTCTTTTCCTGCTCCATTTTCACTGGTGTCAGTAGCTTAAAATAAGCTACGCTGGGAGTATTTACACCATAGCAATGAGCAAGTCTATAAATGAGGTCTTGTCTTTCTCCTCTTTTCCAGAGAGCTGGATTTCAAACATCTACTAGCACACCACAGGATTGGGTGCACCTAGAACTGAAGAACATGTACAGATGACAGCACACAGCATCAACATCACCATCATCATCAACAGCTAAAAGAGGCCTAGTAGGTGTTAAAACAGTTTTTGAAATAATAATTCTGGGGCTGGCACTGTGGTATAGTAGTAGTAGGTTAAGCCTCTGCCTACGATGCCGGAATCCACAGTTTCCCCAGAGCAGACTATGAGACAAAAGTTTTGAATGCTACAGTTTATTTGGGTGTCATCCCAAAGAGGGAATAAAGAAGTGAAACAGGACAAAGAAGTCACCTAAAGGTGTTTTCACGCCAGTTATTACAATGGGGGACTGGCCCTTAATTATTCAGTAAAACCATGTGAGTCAAATCTCAGTTTTCCTACCACATGAATGAAGGAACTGGGATATTTGCACAACTATTCCCATCAATTATTGGTGGGGTTGGAGGGCTGGGAAGGAGGCATTGAATTTCCGGCATATCTAGTTTGCCCACAATGCCAGAGATAGCATTCAGATTGCTGAAAGTTGGCCTTTGTACTGAAATATGATGATAAAGTAGACAGATGGGCCAGGTACCGACAGTGATTGTTGCAAACCATCCTACCCCTTGGGGATGTGCCTGAGAATTTCATTGCCCCAGAGTTTTGGAATTCCAAGAGACAATATAACTCTTATTTCATCCTTAATTCTCTGACCCTTAACACTCATACCCAACAACAGGACTATCACAACCCCTCTCCCCAGAAAGTTTAGCAGTAGTACAGCTGCCAACCTCCTGTACTTCCCCCTCCCAACAAAAAGTCCACAGGTGCAAAATAAAAATCATTATAGCCACTACTGCAGAGTAACATAGTATCTGCCTACTTGCACACCAACCAAAACTCCCCCATGACCTATGAACATTCCCACTGTGAACTCTTTTCAGCCTGCTCTGTTACTCTTTTTTTTTTTTAAGATTTATTTATTTATTTGAAGGGCAGAGTTACAGAGAGGAAGAGAGAGAGGCATCCATAAAGGATGCCAGCACTGCAGGCAGCGGCTTTTACCTGCCACGCCACAGCGCCGGCCCCACGTTACCCATTTTTAAATCTTCACCATTTAGAACAGTATTGGGTAAGCAGGTGGCACTCAATAAGTGTTTCTTGAATTGTCTAAATTGACCAACCTAATTTGGATCCATGGACTCATGAAATCTGTTATCATAACCTCATACATGCTTGTTTAATCATTTAGTTCCAAAACAGCATGTTGACTATGTAGGTAGGGACTAACTACTTCAGGCATTAATCTGAAAATTTAAGCATTATTTCTTTCTAAAAATATTTATTTATTTATTTATTTGAAAGGCAGAGTTACAGAAAGGAAGAGGGAGGGAGGAAGGGAGAGAGGGAGGGAGGGAGGGAGGGAGGGAGGGAGGGAGGGAGGGAGGGAGAGAGAGAGAGAGAGAGAAAGTCTTCCAAATGCTAGCTCACTCCCTAAATGGCCACAATGGCCAGGGCTGGGCCAGACCAAAGCCAGGTACCAGGAGCTTCATCCAGGTCTCCCTCATGGGTACAGAAGCCCAAGCACTTGGGCCATCTTCTGCTACTTCCCAAAAGCATTAGCAGGGAGCTAGATCAGAAGTGGAGCACCTAGGGCTTGAACTGGTGGCCATATGGGATGCCAGCACTATAGGCAGTGGCTTAACCTGCTTTGCCACAGTGCTGGCCCCTCAAGCATTATTTCCGGCACTTGAGAACATTACTGTGTCTCAGTCAAAGCTGTGTTGCATATTTTACTAATTAAGAACTGTGATGGGGCCAACACTGTGGCATAGCTAGGAAAGCCACCACCTTCAGTGCCAGCATCCCATATGGATGCCGGTTTGAGACCTGGCTGCTCCACTTCTGATCCAGTTCACTGCTATGCCCTGGGAAAGCAGTAGAAGATGGCCCAAGTGCTTGGGCCCCTGCACCTGTTGGGGAGATCCAGCAGAAGCTTCTGGCTTCAGATTGGCCCAGCTCCAGCTGTTGCAGCCATTTGGAGAGTGAACTTGCAGATGGGAGACTCTCTCTCCCCGCCCCCTCTGTTTTCTCTCTCTGCCTCTGCCTTGCTAACTGTGCCTTCAACTAAATAATAAATCTTAAAAAAAAAAAAAAACTGTGATACTAGTGTTACCATCTTTAGGACAAGAGAGAAAAAAAAATAGTAAAAAGGCATATTTCCTGAACACCAATGGCATCAGCTAGTAGTGCCCTTGACACAGGAGTAACACATGTATTACCAAGAGCAACAAGCATACTTTAGGAAAAATGAATAGGCCTGCGTTTCAGCCTGTCTGTTCTATCTGCAGGTCTCCATTTCTCTGTGCTGTCTCTGGTTCTTGGGGAGCTGCAATTGAATGAGTGTGTCTTCTGGTTCAGTAATCCTCCAGAGTACACAGTGGTGTCCTCGGCACATGGAGGGCGGTCAGTAAGCCATGGCTGACATTCAGAATCGCCCTCCTGATCAGTGGAACAGTCCTGAGCAAACGAATTGCTAGGATTTCTTGAGCTCTGAAAGTGGTCATTGTCTAAAGGTGGTAAACAGGCTGTGCTGGCCACACCCAGCGTCCAGGAACGACTAAACATTTCATTTCTGCAGCCAGCTGAGCTGGCTTTTTCAAAGTCATCTCCAACAAGTGAACAAACGGTGACCTTCATCTTTCACTTTAGGACCCGAAGGTAAACCCAAGGTTCAACAAGAGATGGCATAAGAGCTTTCATTCTAAATGTAGGAGCTAAGAGACTCAAGCTGTTCTGAGAATGCCTAGTAGTTAGCAGAAGTGAGGCTTCAATGGAGACTTGGCACTCAAATGCATGAAATATTAGGGTCTTTCCTTTTTAGGATTTCTGTGTTACCTTGAGTAAAATCAGAAGCAAATGTACAGAGTGAAATAAAAATGAGGAAGTCTAACTCTTTAGGAATAACTCCTGAGTTGCAATTGGTATAGCAACAGGAGCTGGGAGGAGGAATTCAATTGTCATTGACTCAGCTCATCCCCGCAGCCAGCCGCGTGTTCCATCTGGAAACCCTGTTTCCCACAGGACAGCGGTTCTCTCCCTGCCTTCCATGACCATTTCTCCACCTCACACAGCACCCCTGCACACGATGAGGCACTGGTGGAAACTGCAGCCAGCATGGGCAGTCATCTTTAGCTAAATGCTCAATATCAGATGAGAACTGATTAGTAAAGGGTCTCCCAAGGGACAGATACAAAATGCAGGCAAAGAAGAATTCTCTGCTACAAAAGCCTACCCACACATAAAACTACAACATGGCACCCAAACTTTCCTTGCACCCTTTGTCGTACTGAGTTCTGTTTTCAGCAGGTACAGTTTTCCCTCCACCTGCAGAACTCCTTCTGAAGTAGACACCAGCAGCGTGAACCTCCTCGTGGCTCATGACTGAGAACGCCCTGCTGAGCGCACACATCACAGCTGGCTCTGAGATGCTGTCTGCAAAATGTCCGGGCCTCACTGTCAGGCTCAGCAGGCTCCCCGCTATGTTACTCTCTTATACTCTTAAGCGTGTGCACTTCACACAATGCCCTGGTTTGCTTTCACGTTGCAGGTTGTGTTTTTAGAAGATGATTAAAATGAGGTGGAAGGAATTACGCAGCCCAAAACACAGAACTTCCCCTTTTCTCTTAGAAAACCACCTGGGACGATAAAGAACCTCATTGGCCATCTGTTGGAGGAGACCCTAGAAGGAGGCCTGCTGTTCCTCCCAAATCAGCAAGTCTGTGATTTCCATGTGCTGGGCAAAGTGCTTCTACAATGCTTTCCTACAAAACGGCCAGATGGAAGAACACCTGATTCACACAGGTAATGGCTGATACAGTGGGTATCTTTTCTGTTCAAACAGGAAGAGAAGAGAGGAACAATTCCACGGAACTAGAAAGTAGAGTCATTCATTCAGGCAGTGACGGGGCCTGCATCACAGCTTCACATCTGCAATTCTCATTACAGGGCTGAGCTGCAGTTTCTGTCATTGGTGTCATATTCAGAGCTTTGTAATCTATGCCAAACTTGAAATGACTGACTTCATCCTGGGAAGAAATATTCCCAGGAAAGACTAGGAAACTTATTTTACCAATTGGTTTTTGAGAACACAGAACCAATAGAAAAATGAAAAGCATATGTATGATTTTTCAATTCAAGAAATGTCTTTACCATATCTTGTCTCATTACCATTCTATGTGCACTTAGGCCACATTTTCTTTTCTTTTTTTTAAAGATTTATTTATTTATATATTTGAAAGTCAGAGTTACAGAGAAGGAGAGGCAGAGAGAGAGAGAGAAATGTCTTCCATCTGATGGTTCACTCCCCAAAAGGCTGCAACAGCTAGAGCTGCACTGATCTGAAGCCAGGAGCCAGGAGCTTCTTCTGGGTCTCCCACGTGGGTGCAGGGGCCCAAGGACTTGGGCCATCTTCTACTGATTTCCCAGGCCACAGCAGAGAGCTGGGTTGGAAGTGGAGCAGCTGGGACTACAACCAGTGCCCATATGGGATGCCGGCACTGCAGGCAGTGGCTTTACCCACTACTCCACAGTGCTGGCTCCTATATTTTCAATTAAGAAAGGAGCAGTGGAGGAGAGTCCAGATGGCAGAATAGGGAGGGAGCTTATTGCTCTAGTCTAGGGGAAGATAGTTTAAAAAAAAAAAAAAGTGGAGAGAGTGCAATTTCAGGAAAGAGTTAGGGAAAAAGCTCCAGAAGAAATTCCACGCAAACTTAAAGGGTAACCCTGGACTATTTTAGGTTGTCTCGGATTATTTTAGCACTTGTTGGGAGGATCAGCCATCTCATTCTGTAGTGATGCTTCTGACTACCTATTCATAGCACAGTCTTGGACAATTTCACGGTTGAAAGTGTTTGTCCACATAATCTATGGGGCATTGACATCCATCACATACTTCCAAATACATCTTCTGTCATCCTGAAGAGCACTTAACCATACCAGACAGTCGAATAATTGATGTTATCACTCCCATTACATGGATGAGGAATCTGAAGGAAGATTTCTTAACCTGTCTAGGCCCTACTGCCAGTATTGACTGATACGGATCTGGAGCTTCAGCTGACAGATCCCCATTAAGAAAGCCTCCCGATCACTTCTCCCTGTCAGAAGGGAAATTCAGCATATACTTTGTTTTGAAACCCATGAGAGGGATGCGTCTGCATTCTGTTGGAGGGCATTGTTTCTAAATTAATAGAGACTACTATTCCTAAACTAAAATCAATGACTAAAATGTTAAAAGTCTAAATATCGGATATCAATGTATTAAAAGAGTTGCAGGGCAGGCACTGGTGCATTGGTTAAGATGCCAGCGATGTGGCACAGTAGGCTAAGCTCCCGCCTGTGGCACCGGCATCCCATATGGGCGCCAGTTCGAGTCCTGGCTGCTCCTCTTCTGCTCCATCTCTCTACTATGGCCTGGGAAAGCAGTGGAAGATGCCCCAAGTGCTTGGGCCCTTGCACCTGCATGGAGACCTAGAAGAAGCTCCTGGCTCCTGGCTTTGAATATTCTCAGCTCTGGCTCTTATGGCCATTTGGAGAGTGAACTAGTAGATGGAAAACCTTTCTCTCTGTCTCTCTCTCTCTCTAACTCAACCTCACAAATAAATAAATCACTTTTTTTTTTTTTTTAAAGATGCCTCTTGGGATACCCACATCCCATATTGGAATGTTTGGGTTTGGGTCGTGGCTACTCGCCTTTTGATTCCAGCTTCCTGCTGCTGCACGTCCTGGGAAGCAGCAAGTGATGACTCAAGTCCTTGGGTTCCTGACACCCACAGGGGAGATCTGGACTGAGTTCCTGGCCTCAGCTGCTGTGGACAAATGGGGAGTGAACTAGTGGATGGGAGATTGGGCTCTTTCTGTCCCTGTTTCTCTGCCTTTTAAATCAATAAAAGTAAATAAATAAATTTTAAACCAGCTTCTCACCTGGCTATGGAGGCTTTTCTAATGGCAGGATGGAGGTTTTGCAGAGCACAAAGAACCTTTTAATTTTACTAACATGTTTTGAGAATTAGTCCTTAAAGAAAAACCTTCCTGGTGAAGACTGATTTGTTTGCTAATGAGATTAAACAAGGGGCCGGCACTGTGGTACAGCAGGTTAAAGCCTTGGCCTGAAGCGCCGGCATCCCATATAGGCACCGGTTCTAGTCCCAGCTGCTCCTCTTCTGATCCAGCTCTCTGCTGTGGCCTGGGAAAGCAGTGGAAGATGGCCCAAGTCCTTGGGCCCCTGCACTCATGTGGGAGGCCTGGAAGAAGCTCCTGGCTCCTGGCTTCGGATAGGCTCAGCTCCAGCTATTGCAGCCATTTGGGGCGTGAACCAGCACATGGAAGACTTCTCCCTCTATCTCTACTTCTCTCTGTAACTCCGTCTTTCAAATAAATAAAAATAAATCTTTAAAAAAAGAGAGATTAAACAAATACATTGAAAATTGGATGGCCACCACATGGGGCCGGCACTGTGGCACAGTGGGTTAAAGCCCTGGCCTGAAGCACTGGCATCCCATATGGGCGCCGGTTCTAGTCACGGCTGCTCCTCTTCCTATCCAGATCTCTGCTATGGCCTGGGAAAGCAGCGGAAGATGGCCCAGGTCCTTGGGCTCCTGCACCCGTGTGGGAGACCCAAAAGAAGCTCCTGGTTCCTGGCTTCAGATCGTCACAGCTCCAGTTGTTGTGGCCATCTGGGGAGTGAACCAGTGGATGGAAGACCTCTCTCTGTGTCTCTACTTCTCTCTGTAACTCTGTCTTTCAAATAAATAAAATAAAAATATTAAAAAAAATACAGAAGAAAACCTAAAACGAACTGTTTGGGCTTCCCAAGAGCTATCCAGAAGAAATTCATTAAATGATCAGACAGATCACAGCTAGAGTCATTTCTACCACCATTGGGAGTTTCTTGTATTACACAGTTTGTCATTGACCTGAACTTATTGGGGAAACAACCAAGCCACTGCTTTAGGAATCATCTCTGTACTCAGTGTTTTCTTAATGATCAGTGCCATGAGTTATAAATGGGACATAAAGCATTATAATGCACAATGTGTGTGTGTATTCCAGAAAACATGGTAATTCTGAAAAGGAAAGACAAAGTATTCTACAATACCACTCTTAAACGTTTGATGTAATAATTTCTTTCACAATTTTTATTTTCTACACATTATCGTATGTAACTGTATTATTAGGACTTTCTTTTCAATCTCATTTAAGATCTTTTTTTTTCTTTTTTTTTTTTGGACAGGCAGAGTGGATAGTGAGAGAGAGAGACAGAGAGAAAGGTCTTCCTTTGCCGTTGGTTCACCCTCCAATGGCCGCCACGGCTGGCGCGCTGCGGCCGACGCACCGCGCTGATCCGAAGGCAGGAGCCAGGTACTTCTCCTGGTCTCCCATGGGGTGCAGGGCCCAAGCACTTGGGCCATCCTCCACTGCCTTCCCGGGCCACAGCAGAGAGCTGGCCTGGAAGAGGGGCAACCGGGACAGAATCCGGCGCCCCGACCAGGACTAGAACCTGGTGTGCCTGCGCCGCTAGGTGGAGGATTAGCCTAGTGAGCCACGGCGCTGGCCTAAAGATCATTTTTAAAGAACAAATGTTGGGGTCCGGCGCCGTGGCTCACTTGGTTAATCCTCTGCCTGCAGCACTGGCATCCCATATGGGCGCCAGGTTCTAGTCCCGGTTGCTCCTCTTCCAGTCCAGCTCTCTGCTGTGGCCCAGGAGGGTAGTGGAGGATGATCCAAGTGCTTGGGCCCCTGCACCCCCACGGGAGACCGGGAGGAAGCACCTGGCTCCTGGCTTCAGATCAGCGTAGTTCCAGTCGTAGTGGCCATTTGGGGGGTGAACCACTGGAAGGAAGACCTTTCTCTCTCTCTCTCTCTCTCTCACTGTCTAACTCTGCCTATCAAAAAAAAAAAAAAAAAAAAAAAAGAAAAGAAAGAAAGAAAAGAAAAAAATTATTTATTTATTTGAAAGGCAGAGTTACAGAGAGGCAGAGGCAGAGAGAAAGAGAGAGGTCCTCCATTTACTGGTTCACTCCCCAAATGGCTGCAACAGCCGGAGCTGGACTGATCTGAAGCCAGGAATCAGCAGTTTCTTCTGGGTCTCCCATGTGGGTGCAGGGGCCCAAGCACTTGTGCCATCTTCTACTGCTTTCCCAGGCCATTGCAGAGAGCTGGATCAGAAGAGGTTCAGCCAAGACTCGAACTGGTGCCCATATGGGATACTGGCACTGCGACAACTTTACCCGCTACACCACAGCGCCGGCCCCCTACTTGTTGAACTTTTTATTTGGTGTGGCATTAAGCCATTGGCATAATGTAAATTAAAAATGATATCTCAAAAATGAGAAAAAAATGGAGAGAAGGAGAGAGGGGAAGGGCACAGGTGGTGGGAGAGAGGATGGGAATATCATTCTATCCTTAGAATTATATCTATGAACTATATTGATCTGTTAAAAACTAAAAATAAAATCAAATAAAAACATCATTGGCTGTTTCCATCCATGCCATTTCTAATGGGATGCTTCAACATTAAATCAATTCCATATTCTCTGAAGCACCACTGGCTATTCCTGTGAAGGGATTCCTGGGAGAATTTTGATCTGAAAGTTTATGAAGTCAGGTTTTTTGGTTTTGATACTCAAGAAGAGTCTTTTTTTTTTTTTTTTTTTTTTTTTTTTGACAGGCAGAGTGGACAGTGAGAAAGGTCTTCCTTTTGCTGTTGGTTCACCCTCCAATGGCCGCCACGGCTGGTGCACTGCAGCCGGTGCACTGTGCTGATCCGAAGGCAGGAGCCAAGTGCTTCTCCTGGTCTCCCATGGGGTGCAGTCAAGAAGAGTCTTAAAGTAGCATCAAGGATCCATGCCTTTGTTCTTAATAACTGTATCACTATATAACCATGCATTCTGAGCAAAGATTTGTCAGTGTCCTATATATTTTTAACTATAGGTTCAAAAATCACATACCCTCATTGATATGTTTTTCACTTCATGTTTTTATTTGATTACTTAACTTGTACATTTTTTCCTTAAAATTACTACATAAGAACAGAATAACTATGTAATGTTTCATTGGTAATTCCTCCATTTTCCACCAGATGTCACTAATGCTGCAATGTTCAAATTAAGATTTTTTTTCCCCCAGACTCTCAGGCTGTGGGGATGTTGAATTGTAGGCTTCACAGGCAAAACAATTGTGCTGTTGCTTAAAGTTCAGATGATCTCTTCCTTCTGTCCCAGACAAGGAAGCTCACTCCATGACTCCTCAACAAGCACACTGAGTAGAGTTTTCTCAGCCTTTTCCTCTCACCTTTTGCACCCTTTAAGCAGTGGAGGGTCCAGTGGTTTCCCTTCATGAGCTCCGCAAAACTTGAAATTTCTCACTGAGTGATTGTATTTGCAACTTCCTCAGATATTCCATCATCAGATGACAGACCAATGAATGGAAGGTCTCAAAGATGGAAGACTTTCCAGAGAGTAAGGTCTTCCATCCGATGGCTCACTCCCCAATTGGCCACTACGGCTGGAGCTGCGCCGATCCAAAGCCAGGAGTCAGGAGCTTCTTCCAGGTCTCCCATGCGGGTGCAGGGGCCCAAGGACTTGGGCCATCTTCTACTGCTTTCCCAGGCCATACCAGAGAGCTGGATTAGAAGTGGAGCAGCCTGGTCTCGAACTGGCACCCATATGTGATGCCGGCGCTTCAGGCCAGGGCGTTAACCCACTGTGTCACAGCACCAGCCCCACAAAAATCTCTTTTCTTTTTTTCCTTTTCAGGTTTTTTTTTTTTTAACTGATATTCACTTCAGTAACTTGCATCCACAGATATAAGCAGTATATAACCAGAAAGTTACAAGTAAACACAGATTACACATGCAAATTTCTGTTCACAAAGGTCACATGTGCAGGTACATGAATTAGAAGCGTGCATCTAGAATTATGCCCAAACTGGTCTTAAAATGCAGAAATGTAAAATTAAATCTTGAAAATATGAAGAGATGGTCTACACACTTCAGAAATCAAATGTTTCTGCTTCACACCTGCCAGCTGGCTCCTTCTGAGTGAGTGGGGGCTGGGTTTGCAGGGGAAGTGGGAGGCTTGGGCTGCAGGTTGTGGTCTCGGAGACTGGTACTGGGACCTGGGGAGAGCCATGAGGTGAAGGAATGAAGAGGTTGAATCCCAAAGGGTGAGTCCTCTGGAGCAAGGAACAGCCAGAAGGGCTGCTTTTTTTATGCTTATTTTATATGATTTTTATTTTTTAGAATTTCTTTGTATTTTATTTACTGAAAAGGCAGAGCAACAAAAGAGAGAAGGGAGGGAGAGACAGAGACTTCTATCTGCCGGTTCATTCTCCAAATGCCCTCAATAACTGGGGCAGGACCAGGCTAAAGCCAGAAGCCAACAATTCAATCCAGGTTTCCCATGTAAGAAGGACCCAAGTACTTCCTGTTGCCTCCCAGGGTCTGCATTAGCAGAGAGCTGCATTCGCATGAATTTTTGGAAGGCCCTAGTATATGAATGCTTCATTGCATGGATGAGGCTGGGAGTGGTGCACAAATGTTAAGATGCTCTCCATTCACTTGGCAGCTTATCTTGGAGACATTTTCATAGCAGCCCACGAAGATCTGCATCCTGCAACTGCCACCGTTCAGAGTCATGAAGGGAGAAGGGTGTGGCGAGGGAGGCCTGGATCCAGAAGGAAGGTTTTACAGCTCTTCTGATGCCCAGTGAGTCCCGGAGGAGAATCTCCCAGCAGCACTGTCTAGACCACAGAGGGAGTGCTGATGGGCATCTTGAGCTCACCGTGTGGGTCGGAGGGCCTCAGGCATGGGATTAGCTTATTACGTGCATTATCTCCATCTTCACCACAACCCTTTGAGAGTTATTGTCCCCATTTTACCAACGTGAGAAGTGACATTTAGAAAGATTCAGTTAAGTTGCCCAAGTTCAAACATCCAGTATCCACTCCAGGCCCAATTCCAAGCTCTTATTCTTTCACTCTCTCTCCTTGATTCTCAGAGGCTGGTGGAGAGGGGAGGGTCTTCTGCTCCAGCACACACAGACTTAACCTAAGGGAGGGCTGAGTACCCTGGCACTCTCAGTTGAAGACATGAGAACTTGTGGTCTTCGCATTTGAGTATCATAGTATTTGAGTATTGTGTGGAATACTTTGTTTCCTAAAAAATGCCTCCTTTTTCTTAAGCTACCTCAAACAGTTTGAGGGTGTTTTGATAATAGCAGCATTAATTTTCTTCCATCACTATGTCTTTTGTCATGTTTCCACCTGGTTTTGTAACTGAACAATAGGTTGGAATTTGTGCTTACTATATTATCCTAATCCCTCTGCTCTAGCTCTTTAAACCAATTAGAAAAGTAGACCTAGGAAGCAGAAAGAGATCGGGTTTAATGAATGCATTATCCTTGAAACCCCAGAGTTCTCTAGTAAAGCTGAACAGGACCTAGAGGCTTGGAGCTAGGACAGAAATAGCTTCTCTCCCTCCTTCTGTGAGCTAAGCAGCCCACAGAGTCACAGGCGGAAAGGCTGGATAAGCAGTCTGTCTTCCCCATCCTGGGAACAAGCCCAGCATGCTGAACTGCCCATTGAAGGAGTGGACAGCACTGTGTTTAAGTGTCACAAATTGTAGCAAGATTTCTTTGCTTTTTTTTTTTTAAAGATTTATTTATTTATTTGAAAGAGTTACAGCAAGAGAGAGAGAAAAGAGAGTTCTTGCATCTGCTGGCTCACTCCCCAAATGGCCACAATAACCAGGGCTGAGCCAGGCTGAAGCTAGGAGCCAGGAGCTTCATCCAGGTCTCCCATGAGGGTGCAGGTGCCCAAGTACTTGAGCCATCCTCCGCTGCTTTCCCAGGCACATTAGCAGGGAGCTAAATCAGAAGTGGAGTAGCCAGGACTGGAACCAGTGCCCATATGGGATGCCAGAGTGGAAGACGGCAGCTTAACCCATTGTGCCATAGCGCTGGCTACCCTTTGCTTCTTGAGATGGAGTAGAGGTTAGGCGACAGAAGCCTGCAGTGACAGTCTCACACTTGTACACAGTCTGTACTCAGAATATTTCATTGCTTGTTTTGCATTTGTTTAGGTTGTCTATATCTTCTTGATTTATTCGTGGTAGGTTAAATGAATCCAAGAATGTGTCCATTTCTTCAAGGTTTTCCAGCTTATTAGCATATAGTTTTTCATTGTAGTTTCTTATGACTCTGTTTCAACGGTGTCAGTTGTAATGCCTGTGGGGAGCAACTGAGACTAGACTAAATTACTGGAACTAGGACTAATTCTAAGCATCTGCTCTCCCACAATATGGCACTGGGGAGGAGCAAACAACTACGCAGCTGCCTCATCAGTTTGATAAGCTGCAGGAGCTGATCCTGCTCCTGATTGGAGGAGAGCAGCGTGCTCGGCGTGTGGGTAGCAGAGTTGGGATTGGTGGAAGAGGACTATAAAGGAGGAGAGAGACAACATGCACCAGGAACATCTAAGGGGAACATCCGGATAACATCTGAGCAGCGGAGATAGCAGCGGGGGGTGCCGCCCCTCCACGGAGGTGGAGGGGCCGGCAGCCAACCCGGGAAGGGCAGGCAGCTAACCCGGGACGGCGTCGTTCCTCCACGAGTGAGGCCGGCAGCTAACCCAGAAGAGCCGGGCAGAAAGAACAGCTCAGGGTCTAGTGTCATTCCTCCGCGAATGGGGGAGCGACAAATGCCTCCTTTTTGATCTCTAATTTTGAGTTTTGTTTTTTTTTTTTTGTTATTCTGGCTAGCGGTTTATCTTGTTTATCTTCTCAAAAAAACAACTTTTTGGTTTGTTGATCTTTTGTGTTATTCCTTTAGTTTCTTTCTTTTTTTTTTAGATTTATTTGAAAGACAGAGTTATTGGCCAGCGACGTGGCTCACTAGGCTAATCCGCCACCTGAGGTGCCGGTACTCCAGGTTCTAGTCCCGGTTGGGGCGCTGGTTCTGTTCCGATTGCTCCTCTTCCAGTCCAGCTCTCTGCTGTGGCCCGGGAGTGCAGTGGAGGATGGCCCAAGTGCTTGGGCCCTGCACCTGCATGGGAGACCAGGAGAAGCACCTGGCTCCTGGCTTCGGATCGGCACAGCGCGCTGGCAGTAGTGGCCATTTGGGGGGGTGAACCAACGGAAGAAAGACCTCTCTATCTCTCTCTCTCACTAACTCTGCCTGTCCAAAAAAAAAAAAAAAAAAAAAGACAGACAGACAGAAAGAGTTACAGAGAGGTAGAGACAGAGAGAGGTCTTCCCGCTGGTTCACTCCCCAGATGGCTGCAACGGCTGGAGCTGCGCCGATCCGATGCCAGGAGCCAGGAACCTCCTCTGGGAAATGTGGAGTTATCGAGAGGCAGAGGCAGAGAGGCAGAGAGAGGTCTTCCATGTGCTGGTTCATTCCCCAAATGGCCGCAATGGCTGGAGCTGAGCCAATCAGAATCCAGGAGCCAAGAGCTTCTGTACCCCACACGGGTACAGGGGCCCAAACACTTGGGCCATCTTCCACTGCTTTCCCAGGCCACAGCAGAGAGCTGGATCAGAAGAGGAGCAGCCGGGACTTCAGGCCAGGGCTTTAACTCGCTGCACCACAGCGCCAGCCCCCCTTTAGTTTCAATTTCATTTATTTCTGCTGTGATCCTTATTATTGCTTGCCTCGTGCTGATTTGGGGTTTGGTTTGTTCTTGTTTTTCTAAGTTCTCAGGATGCATAATTAGATCTTTGAGGCACTTTTTTTTCTTTTTTTTTTTTTAATGTAAGCACTTAATGCTATAAACTTCCCTTGCTTGACAGGACATATGGCCATGCAAGTTGTTCATTGATTTTTCTAAACAGACATCTGAAATTCTGATTTCACATTCTGCTAATTGTGAAAATGCATCTCAGCACCCAACAGCAGAACTCAAGTCACCTAAACTCAGGGATGTCAGGAGCTCTTATGATAAAATATCTGGAAAGGTGCAAGCATAAGGCTTTAGTTTCAAACTTAACTGGAAGGAAATGTTCTGCTATTTGGTGAAAAAGATAAAAAGGTCCTTACAGCCTTGTCTCTAGTGTTGAGAAATCGTAGTTCTTGTTATTGGGATTTTTTTTTTCTTTTTTCTTCTCACTATTTGTTGAATTCTTAGTGCAGAGTTAAGTTTATGATTATAAAATAAACTGAAAGTATGTAATTGTAAAAATTAAAAAAAAAAAACTAAGACGGGAGGAGGGGGGAAGGTAGGAGTGTGGGTGGGAAGGATCACTATGTTCCTAAATCTGTATATATGAAATTTGTTCACCTTCTATAAATAAAAAATTATTTAAAAAAGATAAAAAGGAACATCTTTCGAAATGCTCACAGTCGTTTCCTAATTTATGTGGTCTGTAAGACAGTGTGTTTTCATGGTTTTATAAAATCTACGAAATTTTTAAAAAAAAAATCATAACAAGAGCATGCACATTTCTTCCTGATCCTGTTTTCTCCTTGTAAACAAAACAAATTCCAGTAGATAAAACTTAGTAAGGAAAAGCTCAAAAAATCAAACTATCCAATAGGAAAAGTGGAAACGTGACACTTTTTTCTCCATGAGATGGTGTTATTTGGTATATGAAGTCCCAGGAAAACCCATTTCTCAAGAGTTGACAGCAACCTCAAGATAATCTAGATGTTCAAATTATGAGACAACTGCAGCTATTATTATTATGTTGTATACATGCTCATAATAAAAAAAGTAGGCGATCACAACACAGAATTATAAATTATTTTATAATGGGAATTTCAGCTCTGAAAAATATCAGAAATTTAGTGGCTGGGTTGAAAAACACAATTGAGATGACAAATGGAAGATCGGTGAGTTTGAAAATAGATCAAGATTGGATTTAATGTCTGAAAAAGAAGTGAAAACAAACTGAAAATATTAACAGGGCCTAGGAGTTGTGGACAACCTCAAAAGGTTTTATTTCAAAATTCAAGGAGTCCTTGAATGACAGAAGACAGACAATGGGGAAGAAAAAAAAAAGTAGGAAGTAACAATAGCTGAAATATTTATAGATTTGCCAAACAAAAAATGTCCAAATTCAAGAAGTTCAGAAAATGCCAAACAGAACAGATGCAAAGAAAACCCTGCTTTGACACATTATACTCAAACTTTCAAAATTCAATAACAAGGAAAATTGTGAAAGCAGTGAAAGGAAAGGAAAAATGACATGCAAGTAGCTGAGCAATAAGGAGTGATCACAGACAACTCAGAAATCACGCAGATCAGGAAACAGAGCGATACCCTTAAGGTGCTGAAAGGAAAGCATTAGCCACCCCCCCCCCCCAATCCATGTTCAGTGATAATAGACAACAGCTTTGAACATTGACAGGAGGGGCCGGCGCCATGGCGCACTAGGTTAATCGTCCGCCTACGGCGCCAGCATCCCATATGGGCGCAGGGTTCTAGTCCCGGCTGCTCCTCTTCCAGTCCAGCTCTCTGCTGTGGCCTGGGATAGCAACAGAGGATGGCCCAGGTGCTTGGGCCCCTTCACCCGCATGGGAGACCAGGAAGAAATTCCTGGCTTTTGGATCAGCGCAGCTCTGGCCATTGTGGCCATTTGGAGAATGAACCAACGGAAGGAAGACCTTTCTCTGTCTCTGTCTGTCTCTCTCTCTACCTGTCAAATAAAAAAATAAATTAAAAAAATTAAAAAAAAAAAAGAAAATTGACAGGAAATATAGATCACTTCAGATAAAATAAGAAAATGTGTTAGGACCAGTGAGATGAAATAAAACAGCATTAGAGAGAAACTTAGATTTTCAAAAATGAATGAAAAGATTTAGGTATGTTTATGTCATGTGGAATATACCTAAATGCATTTGACTTTCTAAAATTTCAAGGTGATCTTCCTTAACATTTTCTGAATGTCACCATTTGCCACAACTGATAACAAAGCAGGCAGAGACAGGAGAGTGCTTCCCAACAGGAGAACTGCTCTCACTTCCTTCAAGCAATGCATCTGGCCCCTGTACAGGAGTCGGCAACATTTGCCCGGCTCTGTTTTGTATGACTTGTTTTTCCTCCTACAGTGCAGTTGTGGGTGAAACAGGGGCGCTGTGAAGGACAATGTCCAGGGTGTACTGTGGTCATCATTATGAACATCTCGCCTACTCCACCGCAGTGTCAGGAACCACAGCAATGGAAGCCGTTCCTCCAGCGGCACAGAAGGATGACACAGGCTCAGTTCAGTTCTGACATCTCGGGGAAGGGAAGACCTTTCCCAAACCCTCTGTAGTTGATGTAACAGCTCAGTGCAATGCCTGACCCTGGGGTGGATCCTGTCCCAGAAAGGGAGCACAACGATATTCAACACATAAAACTAGAACACGGATGGTGGTCCTACAGGAAGTATCCCGATTCTTAGGAACTACCTAGGTATGTAAGATAAAGGGCCAGAATACATGTAACTGAAAATCGGTATTCTCATACTCATATCTACAGAGAGACACAGAGAAAAGAAACGATGAGGCCCGTGGGTAAAATGGTACCAGCCAGGTAAATCCAGTACAGGGCCCCTGGTAAACGGCATTCCCTGTACTATTCTGTAATTTTATATATGTTGACAGTTCCTCCCGTAGACAAAAAAAAAATAATTTATTAAAATAACATCAATTTTGAAAAACCTGAAAACCACAAAAACCACTGTGTTGCAAAGTAGTGAGAACTGGAGGGGATACAGTAAATTCCAAAAAGAATTACCAGCTTGTGAAAACCACTTTTTTAAAATGAAACACCACAAGTATGAACATTTGAGAGAGCTTAAGTATTGAAACTAATATGCTTTCCTCCTGCTTCATATTCTGCAGTACTTGCTTTTTATAAATAAGAGATGTACAGGATATGTAAAAAAACATTCTCGAACATAGCATTTTTTAATTTAATTTTTTTTTATTTGACAGGCAGTTAGACAGTGAGAGAGAGAGACAGAAAGGTCTTCCTTCTGTTGGTTCAGCCCCCAAACAGCCGCTAAGGCCAGCGCGCTAAGCCAATCCGAAGCCAGGAGCCAGGTGCTTCCTCCTGGTCTCCTATGCAGTTGCAGGGGCCCAAGCACTTGAGCCATCCTCCACTACCCTCCTGGGCCACAGCAGAGAGCTGGACTGGAAGAGGAGCAACCAGGACTAGAACCCGGCACCCATATGGGATGCCGGTGCTGCAGGTGGAGGATTAACCAAGTGAGCCACAGTGCCGGCCCCCGAACATAGTATTTTTAAGTACTTTCCTTCTCCTTCTCTCTGTCTTCCCATCTCATTTCCTTTGTTTTTCCTTCCAGCTTCTGTCTCTCTGTCTGTTTCCATATGTGTACCTCTACCTCAGTCTGTCTCTATTTTTCATTTTGCCTAAGTTATGAAATGGAAGCTTAATTTTAAGCCCACAAACACACTGGCACAGCTGGTAAGCTCCTTGGCGAAGATATGGAGGAGGATGTTTTTGGAGTAGGCCTCCTCTTTGGCCAGATTAATGTATCTAATCAAATTAAATGATAGCCCAAAATAGATGAATTAGCCAATAGCTCATTTCAAATCAACCAATGCAGCTAAATTTTCAATATTCTTCCTATTTTTCTCAAGGTATTTGGATAGATTCAGCAACATCAAAATATGAGCTGGAAAGATACAGAAAAATAATGCAAGAAAATAAGGCATGGCACAGCAAACAACAGGTGGCTCTGTGATATGCAGTTTGGGAAGCAGACACACTCCCTGAAGTATTCCTGCCTGGTGTTTTGAAAAAATAAACAAAAATTGACACATCATTGGCCCAACTATTCAAAAAAGGAGAGAGAAGATCCAAATCAATAAAATTAGATATGAAAAAGGAAATCTAATGATAGACACCACAGAAATAAAAAGAATCACTAGATATAAAGAGCTGTATACCAACAGAAGAAATGGACAGATTCGTGGACACATACAAACTACCTAAATTGAGCCATGAATACATAGAAAACCTAAACAGACCCATAACCAAGATGGAAATTGAATCAGTAATAAAGGCCCTCCCATAAAAGAAAAGCCCAGGACGGACCAGATGGATTTACTGCTGAATTCTACCAGACATTTAAAGAAGAACTAACTTCAATCCTTCTCAAGCTATTCAAAATAATTGAAAGGGAGGGAATTCTCCCAAATTCTTTCTATGAAGCCAGCATTACCTTAATTCCTAAACCTGAAAAAGATGCAACAGAAAAAGAGAATTACAGATCAATTTCCCTGATGAACATCGATGCAAAACTCCTCAATAAAATTCTAGCCAATCAAATCCAACAACATATCAGAGAGATCTCCCACCCAGACCAAGTGGGATTTATTCCTGGTATACAGGGATGGTTCAACATTCTCAAATCAATCATTGTGATACATCACATTAACAAGTCGAGGAACAAAAACCATATGATTATCTCAATACATGTGGAGAAAGCATTTGATAAAATACAATACCCTTGTATGGTGAAAACTCTAAGCAAACTGGGTATAGAAGGAACATTCCTCAACATAGTCAAGGCAATTTATGACAAACCCATGGCCAGCATCCTACTGAATGGGGAAAAGTTGGAAGCATTCCCACTGAGTTCCAGTACCAGATAGGGATGCCCACTCTCTTCATTGCTATTTAGTATAGTCCTGAAAGTTTTAGCCAGAGCCATTAGGCAAGAAAAAGAAATCAAAGGGATACAAATTGGGGAGGAGGAAGTTAAACTAACCCTATCTGCAGATGACCTGATTCTATATATAGAGGATCCAAAAAACTCCACTAAGAGACTATTGGAACTCATAGAAGAGTTTGGTAAAGTAGCAGGATATAAAGTCAATACAAAAAAACCAACAGCCTTTGTATACACCGACAACACCACAGCGGAGAAAGAACTTCTTAGATTAATTTCATTCACAATAGCTACAAAAAATTCAAATAAATTGGAATAAATTTAACCAAGGATGTCAAAGAGCTCTACAATGAGAATTAGAAAACATTAAAGATAGAAGATCTAGAAAAAAATATGAAATTCATATGGAGGCACAGGAGACCTTGAATAGCTAAAACAATCTCATACAACAAAAATAAAACCAGAAACATTAGAATATCGGATTTCAAGACATACTACAAGGCATTTATAATCAAAACAGCCTAGTACTGGTATAAAAATAGATGGATAGACCAATGGAACAGAATAGAAACATCAGAAATCAACCCAAACATCTACAACCAACTTTTATTTGATCAAGGAGCTAAAACTAATCCTTGGAGCAAGGACAGTCTCTTCAACAAATGGTGCTGGGAAAACTGGATTTCCACATGCAGAAGCATGAAGCAAGACCCCTACCTTACACCTTACACAAAAATCCACTCAAAATGGATTAAAGATCTAAATCTATGATTTGATACCATCAAATTATTAGAGAACATTGGAGAAACCCTGCAAGACATTGGCACAGGAAAATACTTCTTGGAAAAGACCCCAGAGGCACAGGCAGTCAAAGCCAATATTAACAAATGGGATTACATCAAATCGAGAAGTTTCTGTACGGCAAAAGAAATAGTCAGGAAAGTGAAGAGGACACCAACAGAATGGGAGAAATTATTTGCAAATTATGTAATTGATAGAAGATTAATAACCAAAATCTACAAAGAAATCAAGAAACTCCACAACAACAAAATAAACAACCCAGTTTAGAGATGGGCCAAGGACTTAGACATTTTTCAAGAGAGGAAATCCAAATGGCCAATAGATACATGAAAAAATGTTCAGGATCACTAGCCATCAGAGAAATGGAAATCAAAACCATAATGAGGTTTCACCTCACCCCAGTGAGAAACAGCTTTCATACAGAAATCAACAAACAACAAATGCTGGCAAGGATATGGGGAAAAAGGTACCCTAACCCACTGTTGGTGGGAATGAAAACTGGTAAAGGCATTATGGAATACAGTTTGGAGATACCTCAGAAATCTGAATATAATCCTACCATATGACCCAGCCATCCCACTACTCAGAATTTACCCAAGGGAAATTAAATTGGCAAATAAAAGAGCTATTTGTATTTCCATGTTTACTGCAGCTCAATTCACATAGCTAAGACATGGAATCAACCTAAATGCTCATTAACAGAAGACTGGATAAAGAAATTATAGAATATGTACTCCATGGAATACTATACAGCAGTAAAAAAAATCTAGTCATTTGCAACAAAATGGATGAATCTGGAAAACACCATACTTAGCGAAATAAGCCAGTCCCATAGGGGCAAGTATCATATGTTCTCCCTAATCTGTGACAGCAAAGAGAACACCTAAAAGGAAACCTGTGGAAGTGAAATTGACGCTATGAGAAGCAATGACTTGAACAGCCCTAGTCTTGACTGTTGAGGAATGGTTTATTATTTTATTTTTTTTACTATTTTCTTTTTCTACTTAATACCATTGGTTAAATTCTTTACTTAACACAGAATTATTCATAGGTGTTTAAATCCAATTGAAAAGAGATCCCAGTAAAAAATAAGAGTGGGAATAAGAAAGAGAGGAGCTGTACAGTTCGGCACACATTCCCACAGACTTACCCTTAAGAGGAAAGCTAAAAACTTGCCATGGGACACCAAATCCCATTAAGCTGGGTGGTACTGATGCCATCTTACATGTTAAAGTGATCATTTTAAGTGTGTAACGGATCATATAGATAGAATTAAGTGTTAAAGGGATCACACAATAAGACAAAGTGTCTGGTAATAACAATTGATAGAATTAAAAAGGAGAGAATGATCCAACATGGGAAGCAGGCCACACAGCAGACTCATAGAATGACAAACGCCTTAAGCAGAACTCTGACCTCAGAATCAGCCCTTAAGGCATTCGGATCTGGCTGAAAAGCCCATGAGAACATTTCAGGCATGGAAAGCAAAGACACCGTGGCAAAAAATGATCTACACGAAGGATCTCTGTGAGAAAGGGACCATCAAAGAAGGATGTACTTTTCTCTGAAGGGAGGAGAGAACTTCCACTTTGAATATGGCCCTGTCTAAATAAGATTGGAGTTGGTGAACTCAAGAGGCTTCCATAGCCTTGGTAGCTCATGACAAGAGCCTCAGGTGATGAATGATATCATAAATAAGAGTGCTAATTGTTAAATCAACAACAGGAGTCACTGTGCACTTGCTCCCCATGAGGGACCTCTGTCCTTCATGAGTTGTACTATGAGAATTGACAGTAAAACTTGTCTTCAAACAGTACTTTATACTTTGTGTGTCTGTGTGGGTGCAAACTGTTGAAATCTTAGTATATACTAAATTGATCTTCTGTATATAAAGGTAATTAAAAATGAATCCTAATGAAGAATGGGATGGGAGAGGGAGTGGGAGGCAGGATGGGAATGGGGGTGGGAGGGTGGGTATGGGGGAAGAACCGTTATATTCCTAAAGCTGTACCTATGAAATTTGTACTCATTAAATAAAAGCTTTCTAAAAAAACAGTAGTGCTAAGGAGGCTAGAAGTCCATCATCAGGCAACCCCCCTGTTTCAGCCTTTCTTCCTGGCTTGTGGACAATATCTTCTCACTGTGCCACTGCATGAGAAAGAGGAACAGGTCAGGGCTTCAACATGGGAGCCTGGTGAGTACACAATTCAGTCCATAGCAGTCTATTTTCATTCATTTCCTTGAAAACTACCCTTTCCACCTTAAATATCCAGTAGAAGAGAGAGTATGATTTTCTTCATTTCTTCCCTCAAATTTCTAAAATGTCTATATGGAAAAAAGGTTGTGTAGTGGCAAAGGCAGGAACTATGGAATCAAACTATGTGCTTTTAGATCCCTCTTCATTATTTCCTATGGATATGACCTGGAAAATCAATTATTCTAATAAAGCCTCCATGTCTTCATCTGTAAAACAGAGATGATGGTCAAAGTACCTCAGAGGGTTGTCCTGACTTTTACTGAGCTAATAGTACCAAAAAACTCAGTCTGGTCCCAACTTGATCTGGCTGGGTGGGAATGAACAGTCTATGGCAGAGTGATAACAGTTACTATCATCACAATAAGTAATGTGATCTACGAAGTTAACACAGTGCTGAGGGGGTACCATGGTCATCATGATTCCATTCCTAATGTTTCCAGTGACCTCTGCTGGGGGAAGCTAAGAAAGGAGAAGACCATCATGTTGTTCCAAAGGGGAACACACTGTTGTTGCTACTGATGCAGTCTTAGCATTCATTGCCGACAGCCTGCTGAGCTATTTTATACAATGTAACTGGGCGTGATTGGTGATAATACTAGAATAGGCATGGGTTATCAGCTAAGCTTGCTACGTGTCATCGTGTCTAACTGTGTTCCTAGAGTGTTCTTTGGGCTAAAAGCAAAATGCCCCTCAGCAGCTGCAGAGGGAATCAATGCAAGAGACACGGGGCTTCGGAAAGGGAGAAGACAACAGCGCTGGGAGAGTGCAGACTGCCCTGTGGGAGGATCAGCACCCCAGCTCCCCTGACTGCCGGTGGGGTCCAAGGGCTATAATGTTTCTTCCCAACCTTCCTACATGGTTTTCTGCATCTGCCTAGCCCATGGCCTAATCCCAATGTGTACTTCTTAAAACTTTCTGAGTGTGTACTGTTGAAATCTTTGGGACAATATGTTAAGATGTTTTAGTTATGTTTTTCTGAATAGACTATAGATGAGACTGCTGCTGCAGTCTCCTCTCTCTTCCCTCCCTCTGGTCCATCTCAAGAAGCAAAAGGTGGTCAGAGCTATGGTGCAGAGGGTTAAGCCACCATCTGCAGTGCAGTATCCCATATGAGTTCAAGTCTCAGCTGCTCTACTTCCAATGCAGTTCCCTGCTAATGTGCTTGAGAAAGCAGCAGATGATGGTCCAAGTGTGTGGATTACATGGGAGACCCGGATGAAGCTCCTGGCTCCTGGCTTCAGCCTGTCCCAGCCTTTGTCATTGTAGGCATTTGGGAAATGAACCAGCCAAAGAAAGATTCTCTCTCTTTGTCTCTCCCTCTCTTACTGTAACTCTTTCAAATAAATAAATAAATAAATCCTTAAAAAAAAAAAGAAGCAAAAAAGATCTTTCTACAATTTTTTGAGGTTGAAGCACAGTGCTGTCTACCCCTTCAATGGGCAGTTCAGCATACAGCAGTGAATACTGTTGGCTTTCAAAGACATAACCACGCAGAATGGAAAGATTTTTAGAGATCTGATTTTAGAAAATACAAATAATAGAATTTAAAACAGAAAGGACAGTTTCCATTCTACAGTAATTCCAACATAAATTTTATCATACTCACATTGAATACAATTATATCTAATACAGCTTAATAATTCAATAAAATTGAGCAAAAATAATTATTTACAACTTAAACCAAAAATTAATTCCTCAAAATCTCTCTAAACTGAACTTGATTACTGAACACTTTTTCTGAGTAGTTGGAAAATTATGTTTCACTACTGTGCAGATTCATACCTGATTTCTTCTTTAGACAACATATAGTCAAGGTACTGGAGAGTCTTCCATCTTTGAGTCCCTCCATTCATGGTCTGTCATCTGATGATGGAATACCTGAGGAAGATGTAAATACAATCACTCAGTGAGAAACTGTCAAGTTTTGCAAAGCCCATGAAGGGAAACCACTGGACCCTCCACTGGTGAAAGATTGCAAAAGGTGAGAGGAAAAGGCTAAGGAAACACTCTAGTCCATGTGCTTGTTGGGGGGTCACAGAGTGAGCTTCCTTGTCTGGGGACAGAAGGAAGAAATCTGAACTTTAAACAAGAGCACAGTTGTTTTATCCATGAAGCCCACAGTTCAACTTCCTTACTAATATTACAGTCATAGAACCTGAAGATGAAGAAAAAAAATTCACCTTAACTTGAACATTGCAGCATTAGTGACACCTGGTGGAAAATGGAGGAGTTACAATAAAGCATAATATGGCTATTCTGATCTTTCATGTGTAGTAAATTTAAGAAAAAAATGTACCAGCTAAGTAATCAAATGAAAACACAAAGTGGGGGCCGGTGCTGTGGCTTAGCAGGAAAGCCTCTGTCTGCAGTGCAGCATTCCATATGGGCACTGGTTTGAGTCCCGGTTGCCCCACTTCCGATCCAGCTCTCTGCTATGGCCTGGGAAAGCAGTGAAAGATGGCCCAAGTCCTTGGGCCCCTGAACCCATGTGGGAGATCCGGAAAAAGCTCCTGGCTCCTGGCTTCAGCTCAGCTCAGTTCTGGCCATTGCGACCATTTGGGGAGTGAACCAGTGAATGGAAGACTTCTCTCATTCTCTCTTCCTCTGCATCTCTGTAACTCTTTCATATTAATAAATAAATCTTAAAGAAAAAAACCCACAAAGTGTAAAACATGTCCATGAGGATATATGGCTTTTGAACCTATAGCTTAAAAATATAGGACAGGGGCTAGTGCTGTGGCACAGCAGGTAAAGCTACCGCCTGCCGTGCCAGCATCCCATATGGGTGCCAGTTCAAGACCTGGCTACTTCACTTCTGATCCAGCTCTCTGCTTTGGCTGAGGAAAGCAGTGGAAGATGGCTCAAGTGCTTGGGCCCTTGTGCCCATGTGGGTGACCCAGAAGAAGCTCCTGGCTCCTGGCTTTGGATCAGGCCAGCTCCGGCCATAGAGGACATTTGGGAAGTGAACCAGCAGACAGAAGAACTTTCTATCTGTCTCTCCCTCTCTTTGTCTGTATCTCCACCTCTCAAATAAATAACATTTCTTTAAAAAAGAAGATAATGATGTTCCTTTCCTCCCTCCCTCCCTCCTTGTCCCTCCCCCTTTCTCCCTTTCTTTTTTTCTCCTTCCTTCCTTCCTTCCCTCCCTCCTTCCTTTCATTTTTTTTTTTTAATTTGACAGGTAGAGTTATAGACAGTGAGAGAGACAGAGAGAAAGGTCTTCCTTCCATTGGTTCACCCCCCAAATGGCTGCTATATCTGATGCTGTGCCGATCCGAAGCCAGGAGCTAGGTGCTTTCTTCCGGTCTCCCATGTGGATGCAGGGACCCAAACACTTGGGCCATCCTCCACTGCCCTCCTGGGCCACAGCAGAGAGCTGGACTGGAAGAGGAGCAACCGGGACTAGAACCTGGCGCCCATATGGGATGCCAGCACTGCAGGCAGAGGATTAACCAAGTGAGCCATGGTGCCGGCCCCTCTTTCTTTCATTTTTGAGATAACATATTTTTAATTTACATTACAGCCAAGAGCTTAATGTACCAAATAAAAAGTTAACAAGTAAAAAAGCAAAAAGACCTAGTTTAGTGGCAATATTGGCAAGGGATATAAACAATAATTTAATGGAAAAATGACCCTTTTACCCATATACAGTAAATTTTAAAGTAACCACAGATCATTAAAACTATAGTAGTACAACATTCTTAATGACTGGTTTGACAAAGATATAAAACAATGTTTGACAAAACTATATTTGCAGCAATAAAGATTCACACATGCATTTGGGTTTTTTTCCCCCCCCAAAGAAACCTTTTATTTAAGGAATACAAACTTCATGCATTTCCTAAGTACAACTTTAGGAATACAGTGATTCTTCCCACCATACCTGCCCTCCCACCAACACTCCCAACCCTCTTCCTCCTCCCTCTTCCATTCCCAGTCTCATTCTCCACTAAAATCCGTTTTCAATTTTCTTTATACACAGAAGACCAACTTTATACTAAGTAAAGAGTTCAACAATTTGCAGGAAACGAAACAAAGCAAGAAAACAACAAAAAAATTTGACAGTTGAGACAAGGACTGTTCGAAGTCATTGCATCTTGAAGTTCCTTTCACTTCTTTTCTTTTTTAGAAACTTAATTAACTTTAAAGAAGCATGCAAGAATGATACATCTTTTGGGGCTGGCGCTATGGTGCAGTGGGTTAACACCCTGGCCTGAAGCACCGGTATCCCATATGGGTGCCGATTCGAGACCCAGCTGCTTCACTTCCTGTCCAGCTCTCTGCTATGGCCCGGGAAAGAAGTAGAAATGGCCCAACTCCTTGTGCCCCTGCACACACGTGGGAGACCCAGAAGAATCTCCTGGCTCCTGGCTTCGGATTAGCACAGCTCTGGCTGTTGGGGCCATCTGGGGAGTGAACCAGCAGATGGAAGACCTCTCTCTCTCTTTCTCTCTCTCTCTCTCTCTCTGCCTCTCCTCTGTGTAACTCTGACTTTCAAATAAATAAATCTTAAAAAAAAGAGAATGATACATCTTTTGCTAGCACTTAGACATAACTATAACTTGTGAGACATAAGAATATCCTCCACTTAATACATTAAAAGCAAGTCCTTGAGAATGAGTTTTATCATTAATTAAGGAAGTACCTAAGAAAACAAGCAATGGAGTTGGAAACTTGGGCATAACTAAAATTTATGAGACCTAAGAACATCCTCCACTTAATACTGTAAAACAAAACAAATCTTTGAGAACAAGTTTTACTTTATTTATTTGAAAATCAGAGTTACACAGAGAGAGGAGAGACAGAGAAAGAAAGGTCTTCCATACGATGGTTCACTCCCCAGTTGGCTGCAACGGCCAGAGCTGCGCTGATCCAAAGCCAGGAGCCAGGAGCTTCTTCTGGGTCTCCCACGTGGGTGCAGGGGCCCAAAGACTTGGGCCATCTTCTACTGCTGTCCCAGGCGATAGCAGAGAGCTGGATGGGAAGTGAAGCAGCCGGGTCTCGAACTGGTACCCATATGGGATGCCAGCACTTCAAGCCAGGGCATTAACTTGCTGTGCCAAAGCACCAGTCCCAAGTTTTACTATTAACTCTCATAATTCAACTCTTTGAAGACAGAGGTCCTGCATGGGAAGTTAGTGCACAGTGACTCCTGTTGTTAATTTAACAATTAACACTCCTATGTATGCTGTAGTGATTACCCGAGGTGCTTGACATGAGCTGCCTGGGTTATGGAAGCCTTTTGAATCCACAAAATCCTTCAGTATTTATACAGGGCCATAAGCAAAGTGGAAATTCTCTCCTCCTTTCAGAGAAAAGTGCCTCTTTTCTTTGATGACCACTTCTTTCCACTGGGGTCTCAACCACCGAGGTCCTTCATGTAGGACATTTTTTGCCACAGTGTCTTGGCTTTCCATGCCTGAAATGCTCTCATGGGCTTTTTAGCCTGACCAGAATGACAGGCATTTGTTTTTGTTTTTGACATCTAATTTTAGCTCCCACATATAAGGAAGAACATGTGGTATCTTTCTGTGTCTGGCTTATCTCACACACCACGATGTCTTCCAGTTGCATCCATTTTGTTTCAAATGGTAGAATTCCATTTTTTTAATATTTATTTATTTGAAAGGCAGAATTAGAGACACAGAGGCAGAGAGAGAGAGTGAGGCATTTGATCTGCTGGTTCACTTCTCATTCAGCCACAATGGCCTGAGCTGCACCAATCTGAAGCCAGGAATGAGCAGCTTCTTCTGGGTCTCCCACATGGGTGCAAGGGCCCAAGGATTTGGGCCATCTTCTGTGGCTTTACCCACTATGCCGACCCCAAATTCCATTTTTTAATAGCTGAATAATATACTATATATATATACTACATTTTCTTTATTCATCTGATGATGGACACCTTGGTTGGTTCCATATTTTGGCTATTAGAAACAGTGCTACTGTAAATGTGGTAGTGCATGTTTCTCTTTGATACAACATGTTCATGTCATTTGGGTATATACCCAGAAGTGGGATTGTGTGATCATATGGCAAGTCCATTTCTAGCTTTAAAGAAATCTTCATGCTATTTTTCACAGTGGATGCACTAATTTACATTCCCATCAACACCATATAAGAGTTCCCCTTTCTCCACATCCTTGTCAGCATTTGTTACTGTCTTGGATTTTAATCATTCTGACAGGGGTCAGGTGATAGCTGACCGTGGTTTTTATTTCCATTTTCCTGATGGATAGCCACGTTGAGCATTTTTTCACATATTTGTCAGCCACTTGTATTTCTTTTCAGAACTGTCTATTGAGGTCTTTTGCCCATTCTTAACTGGATTGGCTGGTTTTTTGTTGTTTTTAAGTTGCAGACATTCTGGATATTAATCCTTTGTTGGATAGGTAGCATGCAAATATTTTTCCCATTCTATTGGACGTCTCTTCACTCTCCTGGTCATTCACTTTGCTGTGCAGAAGCTTCCGAGCTTGATATAATCCCATTTGTTTAGTTTTGCTTTTGTTGGCTGTGCTTTGGGGGTCTTGTCCAAGAAGCTGTCTCCTACACCAATGTCTTGGAGTGTTTCTCCTACATTTTCTTCCAGCAACTGCACTGTCTCAAGTCTTAAATTTAGGTCTTTGATCCACCTTGAGTTGATTTTTTATATGGTTAGAGTTAACGATCTAATTTCATTTTTGCCAACACCATTTATTGAAGAGATTACCCTTACTCCAATGTATGGTCTGAGCACTTCTGCCAAAAATTAGTTGGCTATATTACATGGATTAATTCCTGGGCTCTTTGTTCTGTTCCATTGATCTACGTGTCAGTTTGTATGGCAATGATGTGTTGTTTATCTGTTGTTTTAATTACCATAGCTTTATATTATGCTTTCAAGTCAGGTATTGTGATGCTTCCAGCTTGACTGTTTTTGTGCTCAGGATAATTTTGGCTATTCTGTCTTTTGTGATTCCATATAAATTTTAGATTTTTTGTTTCTAATTCTGTAAAGAATGTCATTGGTATTTTGATAAGGATTGCATTGAATATATAGACATCTTTAGGTATATAGATATTTTAATGATATTGATTCTTCAGATCCACGAGCAAGGAACATCTTTCTATTTTTCTGTCCTTGATATTTCTTTCATCAATGATAATTTTCTTTGTTAATATCTTCCACTTCTTCAGTTAAATTTATTCCTAAATAGTTTTTAAAAATATTTATTTATTTGAAAGGCAGTGTTAGAAAGAGAGAGAGAGAGAGTCTTCCATCTGCTGGTTCAGCTGTGCCAATCCAAAGCCAGGAGCCAGGAGTTTCTTTTGGGTCTCCCACACAGGTCAGGGGCCCAAGAACTTGGGCCATCTTCTGCTGCTTTTCCAGGCCATAGCAGAGAGCTGGATCAGAAGTAGAGCAGCTGGGTCTTGAACCGGCGCTCATATGGGATGCCAGTATTGTAGGAGGCGGCTTTACCCACTATGCCACAGTGTCGGCCCCAATATTTGGGTTTTTATGGTCATTATGAATGGATTTCTTTTTCAGTGAGTTCATTGTTAGCCAGTTTTAAAAAGCTGCTAGGGGCCGGTGCCGTGGCTTACTTGGTTAATCCTCCACCTGCAGCGTTGGCATCCCATATGGGTGCCAGTTTCGAGTCCCGATTGTTCCTCTTCCAGTCCAGCTCTATGCTGTGGCCTGGGGATGCAGTGGAGGATGGCCCAAGTGCTTGGGCCCCTGTGCCCGCATGGGAGACCAGGAAGAAGCATCTGGCTCCTGGCTTTGGATGGGCGTAGTTCCAGCTGTAGTGTCCATTTGGGGGTGAACCAATGGAAGGAAGATCTTTCTCTCTCTCACTGTCTAACTCTGTCAAATAATAATAATAAAAAAAGCTGAAGCACCATCCACACATTAAAAAAAAAATAAAAAGCTGCTGTTTTTTGTATATCTATTTTGTAACCTGCAACTTTACTGAACTGGTTTATCAGTTCTAATAGCTTTTTGCTGGAGTGTTTAGGGTTTTCTATGTATAACATCATATCATCTGTAAACATGGATATTTTGACTTACTTTTTTTTCAATTTGGATGCCTTTTCTCCTCCCCAACTGTGCTTGCTAAAACTTCAAGTACTATGTTGAATAAGAGAGGCGAAAGCAGATATCCTTATTTCAGATCAAATGGAAATGCTTTCAGGTTTTCCTCATTAAGTACAATATTGGCTGCTGTTTTGTCATATGTAGTCTTTATAATTTTGAGGTATATTCCTTTTATACCTAATTTGTGGAGTATATCATGAAGTGGTGTTGAATCTTTTCGAATGCTTTCTCTGCATTATTGAAATGACCACATATTTCTTGTTCTTCATTCTGTTGATGTGATTTATGAGTTATTAATCTGTAAATGTTGGACCACCCTTGCATCTCTGTGGTATATTCTATTTGATTATGATGTATGATCTTTTTGATGTGGTTTTGGATTCAGATTGCTAGTATTTTTTTGAGAATCTTTGCATCTAGGTTCATTAGGGATATAGGTCTGTAGTTTTCTTCTTGTGTTGTATCTTTGTTCAGTTTGCATATCCAAGGGATACTGGCCTCATAAAAAGAGTTTGGCAGAGTTCCATCGTGTTCAGGATTTTGTAATAGTTTGAGAAGTACAGGAGTTAGTTTCTCTTTAAATGTATTTTTTTTAAATTTATTTGACAGGTAGAGTTATAGACAGTGAGAGAAGACACAGAGAGAAAGGTCTTCCTTCTGTTGGTTCACTCCCCTTACTCCCCTTAGCGATGCTGTGCGGATCCAAAGCCAGGAGCCAGGTGCTTCTTCCTGGTCTCCCACGTGGGTGCAAGGTCCCAAGCACTTGGGCCATCCTCCACTGCCCTCCCGGGCCACAGAAGAGAGCTGGACTGGAAGAGGAGCAATCGGGACTAGAACCCGGTGCCCACATGGGATGCCAGCACCACAGGTGGAGGATTAACCAAGTGAGCCACGGCGCCAGCCCCATTCTTTAAGTGTTCTATAGAATTCAGTAGTAAAGCCATCAGGATGCAGGGGACTGGTCCTGTGCCCCAGAAGTCACCCTGATTCTGGCTTTGATTGTCTCTGGTAGCAGCGGTGCAGATGTCTGCTGGGCAGTTTTTCAGCCATGTCTGGCCTCCGTAGGTGTGGACGACGGAAGGGAGGCAATGTGGCGTCCTTTCTCACCACCCAGCTGTTGCTGAAACCCCAGGAAGCTAACCAGACCGGAGTAAAAGCGAGCAACTATGGAATTCTCTCTCAGCTAAAGTTGCAGGTAGTGGGGCACAGGGTAATTTCTTCCTAACTTGACTTCATAGGATGGTGGCTCCTAGCTGGCTGTTGGCTGCACCATCTGGCGGGCTACAGAAGTACCTTTTTTATCCTTCTTCTTATCCCACAAAGTCTTCATTGTTTTGTCACTTCTCCACTGAAAATTTTTTCACACCTCTGGAAACATCTTTCCTTTGTTCTTTTCATATTCCAGGGCACCTATAATCAGTGTGGCCACATCCTATTCAGCCACCTTCCCAGTGATAATGTTTTACAAGGGAACTGGAACTATCATAATATCAATTGCTCTTCAGAAGGAGAGTTTAGAATACATGTGACCAAGAGCGAATTGTGATCTATTACAGGGTTGGCAAACTGCAACTCATGGGCCAAATCCAGACCAAATGTTTTTGGTAATAGAACATAGACATGCTCCTTCATTTACATATTGTACGTGTCTGTCTCAGGCCGCAATGACTTGAGTACATATAGGAGACTGCATGTTAGAATATGAACTATTAGGCCGGTGCCGCAGCTCACTAGGCTAATCCTCCGCCTTGCGGTCCCAGCACACCGGGTTCTAGCCCCGGTTGGGGCGCCAGATTCTGTCCCAGTTGCCCCTCTTCCAGGCCAGCTCTCTGCTGTGGCCAGGGAGTGCAGTGGAGGATGGCCCAAGTGCTTGGGCCCTGCACCCCATGGGAGACCAGGATAAGCACCTGGCTCCTGCCATCAGATCAGCGCGGTGCGCTGGCTGCAGCGCGCTGGCCGCGGCGGCTATTGGAGGGTGAACCAACGGCAAAGAAAGACCTTTCTCTCTGTCTCTCTCTCTCACTGTCCACTCTGCCTGTCAAAAAAAAAAAAAAAAAAAAAAGAAAGAAAGAAAAGAAAACACTGAGGGCCCAGTGCTGTGGCACAGCAGGTTAACACGCTGGCCAGCATTCCAAATGGGCTCTGGTTCGAGACCCAACTTCTCCACTTCCAATCCAGCTCTCTGCTATGGCCTGGGAAAGAAGCAGAAGCTGGCCCAAGTCCGTGGGCCCCTGCACCCACGTGGGAGACCTGGGGGAAGCTCCTGGCTTCAGATCAGCACAGCTCCGGCTGTTGCGGCCAACTGGGGAGTGAACCAGTGGGTGGAAGACCTCTCTCTCTGCCTCTCCTCTGTGTAACTCTGACTTTCAAATAAATAAATAAAATCTTAAAAAAAAAAACAACACTGATACAGGGATGGTTCCTGAAGCAGCGGCTTGGTTGTTTACCCAATAAACTGCAGTCAATGACAAACTGTGTAACACTTACAAGAAGCTCCCAAAAGGGGGCAAAAATGACATTAGTTGTGATTTGTTTGATCACTGAATAAATTTATCTGGATAACTCTTGGGGACATTTTTCCAGGAAGCAAAACAGTTCATTCATTTTAGGTTTTCTTATGAATTTTTAAAAATTTTGGATTGGGGCTGGTGTGGCATAGTGGGTGAAGCCGCCGCCTGCAATACTGGTATCCCAAATGGGCACTAATTCGAGTCTTGGCTGTTCCACTTACAATGCAGCTCCTTGCTAATGACCTGGGGAAAGCAGCAGAAGATAGCCCAAGAGGGAGACCTGGAAAAAGCTCCTGGCTCCTGGCCTTAGCAGGGCCCAGCCCTGGCTGTTGCAGCCATCTGGGGAGTGAACCAGCGAATGGAAGACTTTTTTTTCCCTCTAACTCGTTCAAATAAATAAATAAATCTTAAAAAAAATTTTTTTGGATTAACGTAATATTTGTGCATTTTTGAGGTGTACAATGCAACTTTTCAACACACAGACATAACTTACATGGACCATACCAGGACATCAGTCTCTGCATTTTCTGATCTTTTCTTTCTGTTTGGTGCCTTCGCAGCTCCACTCTTCCGGTTCTGTATGCAGAACACTGGTCATCACCTGCAGCCAGTCACCGCACTGGGCTGAAAAACAAATCACACAAGATTTGAACTTGTTTATCACGCTAATTGGAGGCTCCAGAGTGCACCGGCAGACGGGGTCTGTGAGGTGAGACAGCAGCGCCGAGGTCGCGCCCTGGGCCTCCAGGTCCTGACTGCGGGCTGTGAGGACGGGTCGCCCAGCCGCTAGGAGCCCCCAGCCCCGCAAAATGTTGAGATCCGAGCGGGCGGACAGGGCTCGCAGTCGCCGGAGCACGGCCCGGGGCTCCGCGTCTCACCGCCCGCTCCGACGGCACGGGGAGCCCCGCTCTTCCCACTCCACAGCTTCCGGGCACCTCAGCAGGACGGGGCCGCGTGTGCGGGGCCGTGGGTCTGTGCCGAGCCCGCGGCGGGGCTCTGGGCCGGGCTCGGGCCGACAAGGACGTCCTCAGCGCTGGTTTCCCCGCTGACCCCTGGGAGCGCGAGCGGGAAGGCGGGCGCAGAAGCGGAGCCGCGGCTGCAGCGAAGGCGGTGGGAGGCGGGAGGCGGCCGCGGGCGGCCCAATCCTCTTCGCCGCCGCCGCGACAGCGGCCCCGCCCCCGGCGCGGACCTCTCCGCCGAGGCAGCGACCCCTGCCGGTGGCCACGCGCACCCGGGCCTGGATTTGACCCTGAAAAAATATTTCAGGGCTCCGGGCTCTGGAGCTGTGGATAAAGACGAGGTCAGGACGCCAGCGGCCTCTATCGCATTGCCCCCTGCTAGTGAGCCTGGGAAAGCAGCAGCAGATGGCCCAGGTAAGTGGACCCCTGCTCCCGACTGGGAGACCTGGATGGCGTTCCTGGCTCCCTGCTTCCCCAGGCCCAGCGCCGGCTGTTGTGACCACTTGTGGAGTGACCCACGAATGGAAGACCTGCCTCTCGCGCTCACTGTCCCCCTCTCCCTCTGTGTCTGCCACTCTGCCTTTCAAATGAATCTTGACTTTTTTTTTTTTTTAAAGAACAATATGCAGTATCTTCAAGGCCTGCGTTGCATGCGCTTAGACACATACAAAAGCCTCATGTAGCATACTGTGTGGTATCACCAACAGTTGTTTCTCTCATGCACATTCTCGGACCAAGGCCGTGTAGGTGGAAGGGGGTCGGTGCTGGGGAACGCAGCCCTTCCCGTTACCAGTCAGGAAATGGAGGCTGGGAGGAAGCTCTGGGCGCGGCTGTGCGCCTTTGGAATTGGCTGAATCACTAAAATCAACCCATCTGAGCCCGCAGGCCAGGGCTCCAGGACACTCAGGGGCACTTGCTGGAGGAGGGGGATGGAATGAGGGCAGCTGGGGGAGGGTGGAGAGTTCAGGGTGAAGCTGTCTCAGCTGTGGCTGTAGCGGTGTTGCTTCTATCAGTACAAATAGACCTGCTTCATTAAGCTCACACACACAGTCTTGCATCCCATGCCACACTTTATTCATTCCACCCCCAAGTGTTGCTTGCAATGTTTTGCTATTTTGAACAATTTATAATGAGCATCTCTGGGTAGGTTTCCTTGTGGTCCTATGCAAGAGCTTCTCTAGTTATATTTGCAAGCATATTATGGGAATCCCTGAGTTTTTGTTAACTTCTCATCCTCATCAGACTGTTTTAACCTGTGGCAGTCTGGTGAACACAACCCATATTTTATCTTCATTAGTGTTTTTGCGGATTACTAGAGAGAATGAACATTCTTTGTTTTGTATTGGCTATCTTGCTCCCCTCTTCTGTGTTGTCTGTATGTGCCTTTGCCAATTTTGAACTTTTTCTCTTGGGTTATTGGGCTTTCATTAATGAATTTTAGTATCCAGGTTTTCCGTTTCCTTAAATGTTTGGTAGGACTGTACCTGGTTTGGGTCCCTTTTGTCCATCTGTATTTATAAGCACCTCCGATGTCTGGAAAGGCCCTGCGGGGTGTCCAGATGCTCACCAGGGCTGATGTCAAGGCCTTCGTTCTCTCTACTCCTGCCCCCAAGGAAAAGTGAAGCCAGCACCAGCATAAGATACAGCTACCAAGACAATGGTTTTTTAACTGAAGGAATTGTGAGAAGCAAAGGTTTTCCAGGTCATACCAAATCTTAGTCTTAGAACTCCATAAGTGTGCTTGTTAACGCATATTTTCGTCAAAGCTAATAAATTATTGATGAGTAAATGGATATTGAATCTGAAGCCAATACTAGGTACCTGGAACAAATCACATCTAGTCACTGGATGTTGCCTTCAAAATTCGCTTGTGTATACTGCTGGATTCTGTTTGTTAATAATGATGAAGGATTTTGTACCATGAGGGACATAGTTTCCTTTACTATCTCTGTTGTGTTTTAGTGTCAGGGTTTCTCAGACTTAATGAAAGGCTTGGTGCAATATGGGTACCACTTTGCCTTTAAGTATGTGATCATGTTCACCAGTGAAACTACTGGAGCCTGAGATTTCCTTGTAGTATGGCTTTATTGATGAATAAATAAATAAAATGTATTATTGAATTCTACTGGAATAGAATTTCTAGTGTCATCCCACTTTTGCACAACTGTTTGCTTGTTTTCAAATAGCGTCTCCATTTTATCTAATTGGTTGACTTTATTGGCATAAAGTTGATTAATGTACTTTTGTTTTATTCTTCCATATTACAGAATTGCTGCAAAGAAACAGATGTGTTACTAGGTGAAAAAAACATAAGGCAGGGGCGAGATCATAACTCTTACTATAACATGTGTTCCCTACCTTGGAAGAGCAAACTGATCCTCCACGGTCGTGTTTGTTGGCTAAGGCACTAATCCATCCACGAAAGCAGAGTCCCTGGGCTACCTGCTATGGGGAAATGATGATGAAGGTGACCTCACCTCGGTTTTGTCTCACATAGAAGAATTTCCACGTGAACAGGACAGTGAGCATAGCAAGACTTGGCTAAGTCAGCAGGCTCCTGCGGCAGCTGTCCGGAGGGGGCTCCAAGGGAGAAAAACCTGAGAAGCTTGTAGAAGTGGGGTCTTTTAAGCACTATTCTGGGGAGCAGAATAACAGCTAATAGTCAATCAGTGGGCGGGGACAAAGCCCATCACAGGGCCGGAATTGTAATCCTGACTAGCCTGCTCATTTCCCTGCTCCACGACAAGAGAGATCTGGCTGGAGAGCTGTATTCTCTCTGAAGTCCAGCTTTCCCCACTCTCCAGCTTGTGACCAGGCCAGGCAGTGGTGCAGAAAAAAAATCAGGCACTTTAAGTTCTGGGGGCCCAAGGAATCCCCATTTTTTGTAACATATTAAATAAACTTCAGTACAGATTTTTTTTAAAAAATTATTTATTTGAAAGGCAGGGTTATACAGAGAGAGAGAGAGAGAGAGAGAGAGACTCTTCCCTGGATGGGTTCACTCCTCCAAATGGCCACAGTGGCATCAAGCCAGGAACCTGGAACTCTAGGTGTCAGGGGCCCAAGCACTTTGGCCATCATCTGCTGCTTTCCCAGGCACGCTAGTGGGGAGCTAGGTCTGAAGTGGAGCAGCCAGGACTTGACTTGGTGCTCGTATAGAATGCCGGCATTGCAGGTAATGGCTTAACCTGCTGCGGCACAACGTCAACTCCTGCGGAAGCTCAACTGCTTGTTCCCTTTGGTTATACTTTGTAGGTATAAAATGCATACTGGATGTGATTCGGGAAACCCAGGGGTGATTCTAAAGGGGAAGTGCTGGAGAATCACGTGAAACATTTTGAGAGTGAAAATAAGTTTAGGTCCACATGGTTTGCACCAGTAATCAGGCTCGCTGATGAAAGTATCTCTATGTGATTGAATTGTCATTTGACAGTCATGCATTCTTCTCTGTCCCATCCCCAGACTGAATGATCTGTACTCAGTGGTACTCACTGAACATACTGAAGGTTCTGGCATAACTGAATTCTCAAACACCTGTGAATTTCACTTGATCTTGAAAGCAGTTATGTTGCTAGATCACATGGTTCCTATAACTATCCTTTTTTTTATTTGAAAGGCAGAAAGAGAAAGAGAAAGAGGAAGAAGGAGAGGGGGAGAGAGAGAGAGAGAGAGAAAGAGAGAGAGAGAGAAATAGATCTTCCATCTGCTGGTTCACTCCCCAGATGGCCACAATGGCCAGAGCTAAGCCAATCCAAAGCCAGGAGCCAGGAGCCTCTTCCCGGTCTCCCACTTGGGTGCAGGAGCCCAAGGGCTTGAACCATATTCTACTGATTTCTCAGTCCATAGAAGAGAGCTGGATCAGAAGTGGAACAGCCAGGATTCGAACTGGCACCCATATGGGATGCCAGCACTGTGGGTGGTGGCTTCCCTTGCTATACCACAGTGTCAGCCCCATAGATATCCTTATGAACAGAGCTGAACACCTCCTTAAAAGCTATAGATTGGAGCATATAAACTAAACAAAGCTTCTTTGTTTAATCATAATCATATTAATCATAATCTGTTAATGTACATTTAAGGGTGTCATTTGAGCAATTCATAATATCATCTATTGGCATAAAAATTTACTTGAAACTAATACATTTCATCAGGAAAACTTTCCACCCTCATGGTTCTCACTGCAGTTCTATGGGCCTGAGATGCTGTGTTAACTGAGGACTTGATGTGAATGCACTTACAAACAAAGCCTTCCTGGCACTAATAGCACGTAGCAGCTGTTGTTATCCTTGACAGCTTAGAAGAATGTTGTCAGTGCTACTTTTCCTAGTTACTAGTCAGCTCTGTGCCTCTGGGTGTCCTTGTATGTGATTTAAAATTATACAGGTGACATGAGGGACTTTTTATTCCTTTGTTTTGTACCAGGAAAAAGCTTTAGAATATTTGGCATTTACTGGATACAGGAGAGAGAAAAAACTCACACAATAGCTTGGCTCAAAGTTCAGAATCAAGTTTCCACTGCCATGCAACTATGACAGACACGATTTGATATTGCCAAGTTGAGCTGGGTTAGTTGAGGTTCCAGGTCCTGGGTCTGGGAGTTCTTTCTCTTTTTCTTTATAATTTTCATTTTCAAAAGCTGTAGCATTTCTATTTGCAAGACATTTACATTAAACTCAAAAGATGGAAATAGAATACATATTGCAATGACTGTTTAAAATCTTGTTTCTATAATCACATAGAAATATAAACTTTTCTTACTTTTTAGGCAAGTGATTTATTAAGCATATTTTGTTAGGCAATTGTTACTGTTGAAGATAATAAAACCCCTGGGCATTGGCCTAGTCTCATTTTTTTAAGATTTTATTTATTTATTTGAGGGGTAGAGTTATAGACAGAAAGAGGGAGAGAGAGAAAAAGGTCTTCCATATGCTGGTTTACTCCTCAGTTGGCCACAACGACCACAGCCGAGATGATCTGAAGCCAGGAGCTTCTTCTGGGTCTCCCATGCAGGTGCAGGGGTCCAAGCACTTGGACCATCTTCTACTGCCTTCCAGGCCATGACATAGAACTGGATTGGAAGTGGAGCAGCCAGGACTCGAACTAGCGCCCATATGGGATGCTGGCACTGCAGGTGGTGGCTCTACCTGCTACATCACAGCGCCAGACCCCCAGTCTCATTTTGATATTG